GAGGCAATAGTGAGCCATTGAATTTTCTCAAACAGGGGAATGATTTGGTTAGACCTAATGCTTTAGGAAGATTATGTGACATCTAGGCAGAGGATGAGTTAGAGAAGAATATAGGCCATAAATTCTGAGTATAGCTGTTGTAGACCAAGTGAAAATTGATGAGGGCTTCAGCTCGAGTAGAGACCATATTATGGCAAGAAGAGGATGAATGTGAAAAGTGTTGTGGAGGCAGAATGAACAAGACTTGGCACACGGGTAAGGGAGAATGAAGAGTTAAGAATGTCTCCATATTTCTGAAAGAATTGCAGTGTCCTTTACAGAAATATTGAAATTTGGAAGAGGGCTAGGTTTAAACAGAGAAAATAATGAATTCTGTTTTATACGTGTTGAGTTTAAGATGTTGGTGGGACATCTAGTTGCAAATGTCCAAAAGGCATTTGGTGACACAGGCTTATACCTCTGGAGGGTTGGATAGTTATATTTTGGAGTCATCTTCTATGATATGATAGTTGAGCTTATGGAAGCTCTTGAGACCATTGAGAGAGAGGGTCTAGAGAGAACCCTGGGGAATATCCATGCATAGAAAGTGGAACATGCATCATGATCCAGCAAATGATATTGAGAAATAAGAAGGATAATCAAGAGAGAGCAATATCACAAAAACCCAGAGGAGCAATTATATCCTGGAGGAGGCATCACGAAGTCAAGAAAATGCTTTTCCCAAAACAACCAGGTGAGATAGATGATACATGTATAATTAATTGCCATTAAGTTCAAATTCCCTTTCTATGCCATACATTCACTGCCACCCCTCCTTTCTCCTGTTCCTCACCTCTCTTCTCCACTTCCTGTTCAGTGTATCTCGTGGACTAAGAGCTGCCATGTTGTTATCCACATTTTCCTGAATGCTGAATCACTCCATGGCAATCGGACTTCAACTTGTCTTCAGTTTTCCCAGGTGGAAACAAGTGAAGTCAGTTGCTTTTATTTTCTCCTTTCTCTATCACCTTTTCAGTTTCCTAAATAGAGGTTTCCTGAGGGAGCAACACACAATCTTTGGGAATCCTCATTCAAAGGCCTGAAACACTGCCTCTGTTTGAGGTACCCAAACAATTCCCCATCAACATACTTATTGACTTGGATTCCTTCCTCCAGGATAAAGAAATATTGATCTTTCATCCTTTATACACAAACTTGTTTCTATATTTTGTCACTAACACCCAAGAACTGCCTTGCAGGCATGCCTACTTCACCAATTATCAGCTTCAAGAAAACTCCATGATGCTCTTATAACCCTCAAAGTAATTCACTGTAACTTGCATCTGTGAAACCTCTTTGCCTTTTGCACAAAGCTGCCTCCTCTTCAAAGTCTATTGTGTTGAAGATGTGGATGGTTTGAATTAGAAGGAAAATGTCAGCAAGATATTACTTTATTTTTCATTCTACTTAGCTCTGAATGAGGGGTGGGGACGGGGTAAAAGGTTTGGTACAGTATAGGGGGAGAAATGATGAAGTGGGACTTAATTTTTAGATTGTACATAAATTAGTAAGAATTCAGAGTAAATTCAGTGCATTTAATTCACTTTTAAAAATTAGATGACAAAATAATGCTTACTGCATTGGTTCATCATAAGTAGATGATACTTCACATGTGTAGCCCTTGACATAATAGGAATCAAAATAGGAGGTGATTCTATTTCAAGAATTTGTAATAATTCCATCTCTTTAACACATGAATGTGTTCAATATTGGCAAAAGAACACGTTGCTACCAAAACTGAAATAGGATCCTTGAAACAGAAAGGATGTTGCCATGGAAAAATGAAGTAACACTCAGTGCAGCTGTGATGCATTAATGAATAGGATATTTTTTTAAAAGATCATTTGTGTTTGGTGTGGCTCAGAGGGTCCCAACCAGATGGTTTCCATGAACAGGATCTGACCCCCGGCTTGAGGACTTCTTACTGGCAGATTACTTCATTTTCTTTCCCTTGGATTGTCAGATCCTTACATTAATGCAAGATTTACTGCTGTAGATTTATATTCAGTTACATAAATCACTCAACATTTTACATTAAACCACAATTTTAGACATACAGTTTAGCAGTTATTTAAAAAGTGTAAAAAGATTTATATGATAGCTTTAATATAGGTTATTAATGTAACCTAATAATGACTTTGAACTGTTTGGATTATGTATATAAAAATTCTTTGCCCATCAGTAAAGGAACCTATTATATTGCTTTTTTTAAATCTATTCAGTTGTCATTTATACTTGCTATTTCCTATACATTCATGTAATTCATTCCAGTGAACTAAGTATTTCTTACTTAGGCAACTGATTTTTAAAAAATTCTGTATATTATTTCTGAAATTCTAGCAGGGATAGGAATAGGGATTAGAACTGTTATTTCACTGATATAGGGAACTTCTTGTTAAGGAAACTGTGGCTGCCAACGAAGGTTGCCTAGGAGCATATTGGCCATATGATCCTGGGTTAGTTACTTGTCCAGGGTCATATGGCCAATATGATTCAGAGTTAGGATTTGAACCCAGGTCTTCCTAGCTTCAAGGCTAGCTCTTTATCCATAATACTGCTCAGGGTTTCACCTATATCATCTTATATTTATTAACTAGTCAACTGGTTAGATTTTTTTTTTTTTTTTTTACTATTCTTTAGCCTTCTTTACTGAGATTAAGCTAATTAGAGAAAGTACATAAATTAACTTGTATGTAATATATTCATAAAGTTCTTTGCATGTCTTAAATCACTATATAAACATTAGCTATTATATTTCATCTGTTGTAGTTTTAAAACTGTATGATATCTCTTTTGAACTATGGATTCTGCCTGTTTTACATAGTTTGAGTAGATATAGTAGTTTATTCTCAAACTGATGAAATCTGAGTATCATAGATGTGATTATAGTGTATTTTATACAACTTTGAATCTAGCATTTGCCTTTAATCAACAAGAGACCTACAGGTATGTGTTTTAGTAGTTCAGGTTGCTATGATTTCCTTCCTGGAGCTAATCCTTCCACCAGCATAGGTTGTAACCCTCAATTACCTAGCAAATGGCCTTTGAGAGTTGCTGTGCTTAAAAAATTCATGGCACTGCAGCCTTTCAGCTGATTTGAGTTTAGTCAGAGTGGTCCTTGAACAATGGACTTGTATGTAATCTGTCACTAGTTTTGTCCTTTGTTCCTTTAAACTAGGTAGAGATCTACCTTTCCTTGAAGAAACTTCAAGAACCCAGGGTCATCTATACGTTGCTGTGAGGTATCAGCTAGGATGTTAGTAGCTATGTATATGGAGTATAATAGCTATAAAAATGGGGTTTACTTAATGTGTGTGTATATCTATTTAAATAAGCTTTTCTGATAAGTGGTGACTTTTTCAGCATCATTATAATTATTATTATTGGTCTTTAGTGCCAACTATTATTGATTGAGAAAATGCTCTTTGTGTACATTTTTAAATCTGTATAATTTTAACCATGTTTAAAAATCTAAATGTGACACATCTGTAAGAAGACAAAGTCATTTCTTTTCCAGTATAAATAAAATACACTCTGGGATCTTGGATCAATAAACCACTTATCAAATACATAATTAATTTCATCTTCTAACTCAAATAGCACTGGAATAAGAAACAAGCCCAGATTTCATGTAACAATGTATTTATTTTTGCAAAATTCGACTTAGATTTTTCTTCAGTGAATTCATGTCAGTTTGTCTAAGCAAAACTGCTCAGAAATGTTGAAGTAAAGATGAATATCTATGCTTTATTTGCCAGGCTGGCAAATTATTTATGGTATCAAGGAATTCCAACCCTATCATATATCATTATTGCTCTCATGAGGGAATATATTTGCCCCAAGGGGAGGAGTATCCCGGTATTTTGTGTTTAGTTATCTTTCAGAAAATATGGTCCCATTACTGATATGAATTCCCAGAATATTTGAGGATTTATCAGGCACTGTTGAGTTATAAAGCAGCAAACCAATTTTGTTTTTATCACATCCTCAAATAACATCGTATGTCCAAAACATTTAGAAGAAACTAACAAACATATTTTGTATTTTCTTAACAAAGCATTCAAGTGTGCAAGCTGTTGAGGCTATTTGATATCCAGGTGCAGAGTATTACTTGCAAGAGCCAACTAAGACTAACAGACGTTAGTCTACATTGCCTCCGAATTAAGAAGTCATGATGAGTTCAGTCCTTGGTTTGGGCTTAGTCAGCCTTGCTTAAGGTCTCCAAGGGTCTGGCAAAATTATCAGAAATTTTCCATAGTAGACTTAGTAACTGTATTGTGTAAATGAGGGAGGGGAAAAATTTTCACGTGAATTCATATCATAGTTCCCAACATGAAGGGTGACAAAAGACATAATTTTTTATTCATTTATTGCTTCCTTCACTGCTATTCGTATATACACAGACAAAAATGCCCACACAAATGTATATAATAAGCTGGTTTATAGTGAGCACGTCAATATGTAACTAAAGGATCTACTCATTTCAGACTGGCTAGAGTTAGAGCTTGGACCTTTCCCCCTTATATTTTAGTCTGTAAACTACAAAGGAAAGGAAGAATTCACATCAAAATCAGAAAGTAACAGTATATAAAATGCTAGTCATCTCTAAGGTCTTAGCTAGTGCTAACAAAAGCTAATGAACTGCAAAAGAAGGAGGATTTTCTCACGTTTTTTGCCAGCACATTTTCTAACTCAATCATGTTTCTTGGAAAGAGCTGTGGAAAGGCAGATATATTTTCAGCTTGTGTGACTATGCCCTTTTGATCAAGTTTATAGACAGAAACAGCACCTTTTCACATAGTATTTTTTTTTTAACCCAGTAAATGTGACTTACAAAGACTTCAGATTTCTTTGGTGGTGTTGCATGTTTATTCTAGTAAAGGTATCATAAGTCCATTTTTAAAAAAAATTTAGTCTGAGTTCTAATCTGTGAATCGTTTTTATTTCCTTTTGTTTTCCAGCTTGAAGTACAATCCTGTTGTGTGTTTATTCCAAATGACAGCCTACCTTCCCCAAGTACAATTGTATCTGGTGACATCCCTGGAACAGTAAGAAGTTGGTACCATGGACAAAGCAGCATGCCAGGAACCCTTGTTCTGTGTTTACCCCAGATAAAGATTATTAGTGCTGGACACAAGTACATGGAACCTTTGCAAGAGATCCCATTTGTTATCTTGCGACCTATTCTTGAAGAAGGTAAACTTATTAAAAATCTTCCTGTGGTCATTATATTTTATACTTTTTTCTTTCATATATAGATGGTTATGTAAATCAGGTTTCAGACTTCAAGATTTTTACTGCTCAGAAAGAAAGGTAAGTGAGCTAAGACTATGGGCATATATATTTATGTGTACATATATCCATGTACATATAAGAACATATATACTGACTGAAAAAAATACATGTATTTGATTTAGCACTATAGTACTTGGAAGTTTTCTTTGAGGGGGAAAGGCAAGCTTCGTGAAGAGTTTGGTTTTTTTTTACTTCATATGTTTGAATTAAGAATGATTAGCTATTTAAGAGATAATGTTTATAAAAACACTTTGCAAGCATTAAAGCACTATTGCATAAATGTTGTTGTTGTTATTATTTCTTAAAAAGCTAAGGCATCTGACTTTTGGTTAACTGTGTTGTCTCCACACTTCAGTATTTCATACTTCAATGTCAATGTCTATATACAACACAATTTATCCCTTCATAGCTTAATTTTTTCTTTTTATTTTAGGGTGATTGTACTTTGATGATTATTTCATTTAATCCCTCCTCTAAAACTAACAATTCTTATTTTTACACAAAATCATATCTTTCTCAGCTTGACATATTTAATTTCATTCTATATGAGAAGCTGGAAAGGTTTAGAGTCAAATCACAAAGTAAATAATTGTTGACTTGTATTTTAACAACAGGCTTAACTTTTTGAAAATGGTAGGCAGGTCAACACCTTGTTTATATTACTGTTCTGTAAGTATATGAATTTTTGTGTTTCTCAAGTTTATATCATAATATTGCTATTGGGAGGTAGTCTTTGTAGTCTGTTACTCTTAACTTTCCCTTACCCGTCTTTTAGAAATTTAGATGACGGCCTTGGAAAATTCTTTTAAGTGCTACTAAAGATGGCATTTTCTTTTCTCCAAGTTAATATAGATACATGGTAATAAATGCAGTTGTTATAGAACCTTGTTGTAAGGAACCTTAGGCATGTCCCATGTAGAAATTTCTTCAACTATCTCCACATCTTTAACTTCTGTATAAGAATTACCAGTGATACAGAGTTAGCTATTGATCAAAGCAATTTTTCCCTTCATTTCCTGTATCAGTCATGGCTTCAACCTCACCTGGAACTTGCTTTTGTACTTCTCTAATCTAGTTATCATGATATGCTGAACCTTGCCAGCACATTTTAACCCTTTCGTCTCTAGAACATCTGCCCTGGACACTGTTGTCCTGACTTGTGCCTGCCTCTCCTGAACCACCCTTTCAGGAAAACCCCAGCCTAACTTCACTTTTCTCCACCTTTCTTGAGCCATCTTCTCACATCCTTCCCAGCTATCTTGCCAAAACAGCTGCAATCCTTTTCCCCCTTCCCCTTCTCCACTTCTTGAATAAAGAGCTGGATCAAATCAACTCTGCCATTGTTCTGGTTTGGACTGTATCACTGTATCAGTTTGTTCTCCTATTGCCACAGTTATCATTCCTATAACTTTCAGGTCCCATCCCTAGCCACAACTCTCCTACTTGTATTGATTCTCCAGTTGAATATAAGTTCCTTGTCTTTGCTTTTGTGCTTGTATTTCAAGCTTAGGGCGTAACACATAGTAAACTCTTAATAATTGCTTATTATTCATCCATCATTCATTCCCCAAAACATAACTGAGTGGGTTGGACCCTACATTTTCTTAGTTTTGACCTCCTATCTTTATCCTTCATATTAATTATCATCTGATCACGGGCCCCTGCCCTTGTGGTTTCATTCAGCCGAGTTAACATTATAACGTTAATATAATGGCAGACTTAATTGTCCTTAGAAAATGAGGCTTATTTCAGGTCTCTACATGACAAACTGTGGCATTATGAAGGAAAATTCAAGTAACTCTGAGGAAGGAAGGTATGATGACCTCCCCTTCCCATTTAAAAACAAGCTACTCCCAAATGTGTCAGCTACTGGAATGAGGAAAAAGGCATTAGTGAGTTCAGTCACCCAGCTACCTCTTCTATCATGGTAACAGGATTGGAAGGAGCTGTAAATATCAGCTTTGTTGAGCTCTTGATAACCTACTGTAAGATTCGAAGTACCATATTTGCCTTCTTTCTTGGACATACAATATATCATAAAGGGAGTTAGCATAACAAAGTACTCCAGTCTTCTTTATCTCCCCCAATATGGAAATGATATTATTTACTATGAACTTCACATGGTAGTTTAGACAAGTTAAGACTTGGCTCTATACGCAGTAACTACCATAAAAGTTACTGTTAGTGTCCATATAGATTCTGACACCCAATAATTCATAATATCCATTCCTATGAGAAATTTGCTCTGATCAACCACTAGAATTGTGACCCAAATAGGGTGTCTTCCACCTACCTTTGACCTGAGCAGAGACATTCCTTTCAGTGGACTTATCTCCTTCTTTTCAACACCATGTTTCAGTAGTGACACCTAGAGCTCTTCATTGGAAGAGGTTATCATTACCCTCTACTTACCCTCATATATTGTTGTGCATGATAACGCATCCTATCATTCCCAGATTCTGTTTCTGAGGGCAGCCATTTTTGCCTAAACTACTTTGATTTCTTGCTTGAATTTCACAAATGAATTTCATGAATTAAATTTTCCCGGTGCATGGTGTATCTTCCTTTCATCCCCAAAGCTTCTGTTTGCTTAAACATTTCCTGCTCACATTTCAACAAGTGAGTTTCACGAATTTGTCTTTCCAAGCCTGTGAGATCACACAGCTATGGAGACCTATAGCTAGAGCTTAACACTACTCAGGTAGAGCTCTACCCAGAAGGTGGAACCTAGTTGCCTGTAAGACAAGCTAGTCATGGGGGTAGAGGAGAGAGCGTGTGGGAGATGGCATGAATCCAGTTTACCCAAACTGTCTCTTAAGAATTTGACCTCCTTCCTTGCTTATACTATTAGAGAACCAGTTGCAGAGGGAATTCATCTTTATGGGGCCAACTATGCACCACTCCTCCTCTTAGCCACTTAGAAAGAAACAAAGACAGTTCCCATCTGGGTCTTCTCACTGATTTAACTGGCTTTGCAAAAGCAAACCTTCTATGAGCTCCTCAACTCAGTGAACTCTGTAGCAAGCTAAAGATCAAGATTACTACCCATTAGATCATACCCTCACTAACCATTATTTTAATGACTCATTTGGTTGCTATTTTAAACTTCTCTTGTAACCTCTTGAGTTCCACAGTAGTAAAAACCTGCCTGTCCTCTGGAAATTTAGGCAATGTGAAAACAAAGGATATCAATTAAAATTATTTTTGAAAATAAATAAATCTTCTTAAAATAAAATAAAAAATACTGTAATTCTTAGTTGCTAATTTGGAAAACTATTTCTTTGCATTTACTCCTGAAATACTATGGTTGGGACATAAGGGCATTCCTGGATGGCAGTGGGAATTAGGCCAAACCCCCAGACCTCCAACTTTAGAGGAAGAGCTTTTTATATCCCTGGTCCTTGGAACCAACGAAGCCCTAAGGATGGCCTCCTTGACTCCTTAAAGGGAAATAAATTCAAGCCTATGTGAAGTAAACATTTTTCCTGCAACACCATTCCTCTCTCATCCATAGTATTTTGATTAAGTGCTTATTTTCATGAAAACAATTAAGTGTATAATTTATTTGGACACAGTATACTTCCTAACAAATATACAAAATATATCCTGGTTAAGTGTATTCCTCACAAAATAGTTTATTAGTTGTGAACTGAAATAAGGAATATCAATCAGTAAATCGGTAAACAAGCTCCTATTTGAAAGTCACAATGCTAAGTGCTAGGGATACCAAAAAAAGGCAAAAGACAGCCCCTGCCATCAAGGAGCTTACAATCTAATGGAGGAGACAACATTTAAAGAAATGTACACAAAGCAAACTATATACAGGACAAATAGGAAATAATTAACAGAAGGAAAGCAATGGAATTAAGAGGGGTTGGGGAAGGCTTCCTGTAGAAGGTAGGATTTTACTTGGGATTTAAAGGAAGCCGGAGCATTCTGGGGATGGAGGACAGTAAGAAAAAAATGCCCAGAGCCAATAGATGGAATACCTTGTTTGTGGAACAGCCAGGAGGCCACTGTCACTAAATGGCAGAATATGTGTCATGGAGTAAAGGTGTAAGAAGACTGGAAAGGTAGGAAGGTACTAGGTTATGAAGGCCTTTGAATACCCAACAGAGCATTTTATATTTGATACTAGAGATAATAGTGAGCCACTGTAGTTTATTGAATGGGTTGGTAACATGATGGGACCTTCATTTCTGGAAAATCACTTTAGTGGCTAAATGATGGACTGAAGTAGGAAGAAACTTGAGGCAGACAGACACACCAGCAGTCTATTGCAGTAATCCAGGCATGAGATGATGAGGACTTGCACCAAAGGGTAGCACTAACAGAGGAGAGGAGGAAGATATATATTCAGGAGGTGTTGCAAAAGTAAAATCGACACGTCTTGGTAGCAGCGTGGATATGGGGGGGGAGGGCTGAGAAATAATGAGAAATCTAGAAGAAACTCTACAGTTTCAGGGTGAGAGTGAGAGATCCAGGAGAAATCTGAGCTTGAGGAACTGGGAGGCATTACCCACTGCAGTGATAGGGAAAGTAGAGGTACAGTGGGGAGAGGATTTAGGAGAAAAGATAGTGACTTCTATTTTGGACATATTGAGTGTAAAATGTCTTTAGGACATCCAGTTTGAGATATCTGAAAGGCAGCTGAAAATGCAAGTTTGGAGCTCAGTAGAGAGAATAGGTCAGGAAAGGTAAATTTGAGATTCATCAGCATGGAGATAATAATCAAATCCATGGGAGCTGATAAGATCAAGTGAAGTAGTATAGAGGAAGACAAGATAGCCTAGGATAGAACTTTGATACATCTCCATGCTGACTTGATTTTTATTTTTGTTGTTATTGTGTTATACTGTACTTTTGGGTCTTTTTTTTTTCACTCTATCACTTAATACACA